TCCTGCTATTTGCCCTTTATTAAAACTGGTGACTGAGCAGCCCTGAAGTGAATTGGTTTAACTAGCCGATCTGATAGGAACTAAACATCACAAGAAGGAAAACAGCCCAGCTAATCCGTTTGCTGATCTGGTGCAAGCAAGTGGGAGAGGGGGACAGGGAGTAGGACTACCCCTCTTAGCTGCTGCTGTTAAACTGGGCTAGGTACGATGCAACCCCCCTCCTAAAAGGTGGTCTCCTGTCACAGGTAGGGTTTATGCTGTGACAGTTATGACAAGAGATTGCCACAGCTGGCAGCAGCTGTGGAGGGGACAGAAAACCTGCACTCTGCCACAACTGTGTACTTTCCTGTGCTGCCTCTGCAAGCATGGGGAGAGAGCGGGTGAGTAAATGCAAAAATGAATAGTTTTCTGCCAGTATAGCATGATAAATCAGTGTTCCAAAGGGTCAGATGGATGCCGAGGACAGCAGGACTCCCCCGCATGGTAGCAAAAAGGTGTTCTGTCACCTCTTCTGACTGTGCCTTGAGACAACTTTTAAATATAAGGACAAAAGCTGTAAGCTGAGTCGCAGAAGAGCCCAGTGAAAGATAGAGAGAGGTCATTTGTATTTCCTTTTCTGACGGGTTGAGAAATGCACCTTTTAATTTTGAAGCAGAGAAAATGCCTTTTAATTTTGAAGCAGAGAGTTAGGGTTGGGTAACCCTAACCCTAACTCCAGGGTGAACTTTTGCGAAAGTCCCCTGCCAGTGCCCAGGCAAAAAAAATTTTCACAGTGCAATTCTTTTTGCAGCTCACTTTCTTTTGGCAGCGCCACTTCAGCTGCAACACCAGGCTTGCTTTCTCTCTCAAGCCTAATCCTAAACGTACCCTAATTTCAGGGTGAGCCTTACACAGGGCCCCATGGGCTTTGCCCAGGCAAAAAATATCTCACAGACCAGTTCTCTCGATTCACAGCTAAGGGAAATATAATATATTTATTAAACCTTTAAACACTGACTGAGCATGCTGATTGAGAACGTAAATCTAGATTAGCAGTCCTGCTTTCAGTATCACTATTTTTTCCTGATGATAGGAATAAAAAATACCTTTTTATACTCACTATATTACAGTTTGTTCCCTCTGTATATTAACTGGCACTTAAATTTTCTCATTTGTTTCATTTAATTTTTTCATGCTCTTAATTATTTTAACGGTGTCCGAATTCATCCTTCAGCTAAGAACTAATAAAAGTGTAAGCAGGTCAGTAGCATTAATGACATTTTACTTGCACTGATGCCCCTCTAAAACCTGAGGTGTCTGTACCTATTTCTGTTGCATCTATCACTGCTGCAGCTATGCTTTTCATGGCTGTGTTGTGTTGGGAAGCGACAGCTTTGTGAGAACCTCCTCATTGCTAGACATCATAAGGACATAATGAAAAAGCCAGTCTTTGGTTTTAGATCAGAGATTGTTTGCTGCAAAGAGTTTGCTTTATTAATTTAATAAAAAATACAATCAACTGGGATGGGAGGACCACACAGAAGAGAATAATTGCCATCATGCTCTGTGGGTTCAGGACTGTCCTTCTTAGCACAGACATGTAGCAAGCTGGGTTTAGTAGCTAGGGCATATAATGTAAAAGTTCAGATGTTTTGGGTTTTTAGATGAAAATGGTTTTGTCAAAATTGTATTCAGTCTTGAGCTTCATGGGTCTGTGTAGCGTTGCATGTTCTGTTGGAGACCTTAGGGGTTTAAAACTGAAAAATATAACTCCAATTGCTACCATATACTAGACCTAGGTGACTGACTGAGAAGCAATAGGTTTTGCTGTCTATTGTTAATTCTTTTTAACTTTTTTCTCTCTTTCTTCTAATATATTTTACATAAGATAAAGAAACAGTTGTTTAATAATAGTTTGTTCAGAAGTGTTTTATTTGTTTCCTATGCAATTTCAGTTAACATACTTTATGCACTGTTTAATAATGACGAACATTGTAATGACAAAAGGGTGACGAAGGTAGAAGATAGTGTTACACATGCTTGGAGACTGAGATGAAACAAAGCCCACAAGTGATATGATGATACCATATTTTGTGTGCAAACACCCTGTAACAGCCTCCCCAGTGTTGTGTTTCTGGATCTGGAGGAAAGTTTGAAATGCAGTAAAAAAATGTAAATATTTGAAGTTTCTTCCCCTTGGCCCAGATTATGAAATAGTAATCCCTTACATTGTAAATCTTGCTGTACCATGCAAATCCCCTTATAAGGATTATGAGATTGTAACAAAGATGGTCATATTTCAAGAGGTACTGGTGTAAGTTATATACAGTCTTCACCCAACATTATATACACTGATCCAAATGAACAGGTGCTTTACATTTATGGAGAATCTTACTTTATGCAATAATAAAAAGGAAGATTCAGTTACAAGGCGGTGTGGCACATTCAGTCTTATTCTCTGAGTGGACTGAACAATAGCAAAGGGAGTGCAGTGGAGCAAAGACTATGCAATCACTGACCCCTTGCCCCTTCAGTGGGGGAGAATTTCAGTACAGCACAAAGGAGCTGCTGTTTCTGCCTTTGCTGCTATCAGCCCAGGGACTATTTACAGAATAGTAGCTGTTATATCTATTTCTGTGATCAGCTGCTTGAGCCAAAGTAGAGGAACAATTGGTTTTATGATTCTATGTCACTTTGGTTTCTTTCACTGAGTCAGATCCTACTTTGGGAGAATAAGGTAGAAGCGTTTGACTTGCCCAGGTTTCTTGTGTAGACTGGGAGTAGGCAGTATTTTGCCAGCACTTGACACTCCTTCCTAGTCAACGTGTAGTAATGAGTCCCTATACAAGGAAAAAAAATTCCATGAGAAGCATTAGTTTATGCCACTGAGCAGCATTTGCAGACTCACCGTTACATTGTCATACCTGTAGCAGTTATTCTAATGGGACATTGAATTTAAAAACAAACAGCAGATCAAATTAGGTCAAATTCCCTTTTTCAAAATTGTCATTCTGGTGATATCTAAAATCAGTTTCCGTATTTAAATTTTTCACACCCCTTTGAGTTTGCCTATAACAATGCTTAATCTAGGCAACTCTAACCTGAATGTAAAAGCTTTCTTTGTTAGTTTTACTTTTGAGAGGTAGGAGGGTCGTGAAAAGGAAAATTAAGCTACATGGGACAGAGTTACAAGTTTAGATTAGAAATCAGGGATTGTAATCCAGACAAGGAAATTCAAACTTTCAGGTTTCCTTCCTGTATTTTCCCCTCTTTTTCTCTTCACTAATTGACTTAAATCTCAAAGCATTTATATTCAGTAAAGACCACTGAATTTGGGCTGTTAAAAATGAGAGCAGGAAATAACAATCAAATACAAACCAGCAATCGGTACCGCGGCTGATGCTCAGTGCTAAATGTCAGGGCTGAGTGCTGTGGCAGATTAAGCCCTTGTGAAACGAATATAACGTAGAATAGCTTCTTCTGAAAAGTAAGACTGGAGCTGAACAGGGAGGAAACGGCTGCTGTGTCTGCCTTAGCAAGCAGTGTGATGCAGCAAGGCTGGTAAAGCAGCTGGCGCTGGCGACCAGTGCCTAAAAGCTTCAGGACTTTGCCTTCGAGTGAGCTCTGGTTTGGTCCTGAGGTCTGAGCTCCTGCTGGCTCTGCGTTTTGGTGGTTTCATTTAAATCCCTTTGCCGTACTGTGAGACGGTGCTGTGAGGTGGACGAAAGCTTGGGAAGCGGCAGGTTTGGCACAGCGGCTTGAAAAGCACGCTTTGGGTCGCCCGGGCGGAAGGGCTGACGTAGCACCCTCGCTTTGCTAACTGACGAGGGGACAAGACAAAGGGAATCTGCTAGATCTTCACCCATCTAGCCTGACTTGATTTGAAAATTACAAGAGTTATTTAAAAAGTGACTGCAACTCTTTGCAACGCTGGATCAGGCGTTTTGG